TTCTTACGAATGAATAGGATAAAATTTCATATAAAAACAGTATTAATAAAAATATACTAAGTATGTAAATAATAAAAAATTTCGTAGGTAGTTAGTGTTATCTTTGAACATTGTTTAGTATAAATTACGTCCAAAGATTACACTAATTGCCTATGAAATTTTTTTTATTCACACACACAATAAAAATATACCCAGTATTACTTTATGCGCTTACACTTTTGAATCCGTAAATAGTTTTAGAACCAGAAATTAATTATCAAAATAATATCTTATCTGAAATAAAAAACAGAATTGTATCTGACAATAATGTCTTTTATACGTTAATAAATCTCTTTAAATCATGTTTCACAAGCAGAAAAAACTAATTTCTTGTTATACAAAGCCCTTATTAGATCTATTTTGGACAATGGCTCTGAAACTTGGACTTTGGCAAGTTTGTATGAGGCCCATTTGGGTACATTTGGGCGGAAGATTTTAAGGGCCATTCTTGGTGTTAGGGAAAGTGATTGTAGGAGAAGACGGTACAACGCAGAAATTTATAAATGCTATAAGAAACCAGATAGTATAAAATGTATTAAGATCAATTGATTAAACCGGGGTGCTCATGTATTTAGAATGAATGGTTTGAAACCTGTAAAAAGGCTCGTTTTGTCAAAGCCACAAGGACAAAGAGGAAGAGGGCGATTGCGATGGATGGACGCAGTTGAAAAAGATTTTTCTATACTAAAGGTTAAGACACAGAGGACCCTTGTCATCCAGCGGAATGCATTGAAATCTCTTCAAAGAAAAGCTTTGACCCATCCCTGAGCCATCGTGCTATTGATGATAATGTTCAAAGGTAAGACTAATTGGTAAAGAAAAGATAGACTATAATAAGCATAAGTATTCAAATGGTTAAATTTTCATGGTCATTTAGTTCAATCGTATCTTTGTGCAGGCAGCATCTTATGAAATCAGGCAATAATTGCTAAAGTTTTATATTTTCTCATAAGCGATGTTGCAGTGCTTTGGACACAACAAATATACTCAAGAGCCAAAACATTATGACCCCCCCCTCCCCCTACATTTTGCAATGAGCTCGCCTGGACGACGTGGAAGGCACGTGATCAGGTGGAAGTGGTATTTAACTGGTATTAAGGGAGGGGGGGGGTATTAATCCATGCAAAGGCGGGTTGAAACTGTGTTGCGCGCCAAAGGTGGGCCAACTCGTTATTGACAGGTGGCCATAATGTTTTGGCTCTTGAGTGTAGTATCGTTACGAAGTTGTCATAGACATTCTACACAATTCAAATTTAAATATTGCAATGTTCATTATTAAACTTTCTTAAGGAATTCAAATTATTGAAAATTATCAATTAAAAAATAGGACAGAATTTAGAATTAGAAAGTCCAATACATAAATATCCCTGATGGACATTCGTTAAATAACAATAAAAATAGTTTCTTGTTTTCGTCAGTATTTTTTTTTTCTCTTCCTAATGCAGCTGGCAAACACTTAGACAGCTTGGTCTTGGATGCCTTAAGGTAAGCGCTGCATAGACGTTACTCACTTTGCATTACCCAGGGAGCGCGTGTAACTTGAAGATAAGCTACGGACGCGGAGTAACAATGCCCCCGCACCGCTCTACGATCCTATAAGACCGGGACCTACGGTTTAAAGTGGTTTCCGAACCACCACAAACATCCATGGCACCGCCAGGACTCGAACCCGAAACCTGTGGTACCGAGCGCCAGAGCGCTAGCCACTCGGCCCTGTTTTCGTCAGTGTTATATAGAAAATAATCTCAGTTTAATAGTAAAGTTGCATTAGAATACAGTGCAATGTTTTAAGCTATATTTGTTTGAGTACTTTGATATATTAAATATTAATATTGTATAGTATTAATAATTGCATATTAATGTTGTATAGTATTAGTAATTGTATATTAATATTGTCTAGTATTAGCAATTGTATAGTATTAGTGATATATTTTATAGTGTTAATATTTTGATATGTACACTCAAGAGCCAAAACATTATGACCACTTGTCAATAACGAGTTGGCCCACCTTTGGCGCGCAACACAGCTTCAACCCGCCTTGGCATGGATTAATACCACCACTTAATACCAGTTAAATACCACTTCCACCTGATCACGTGCCTTCCACGTCATCCAGGCGAGTTCATTGCAAAATGTAAGGGTGGTCATAATGTTTTGGCTCTTGAGTGTATATCTAAGCACGTACTTTAATGAAAAATATAAATTAAAATAATGCTTATTAAAATAAAGAAATAATTTTTGCATTTGATAATTTATTTCATTAATATTATAACTTTATTTTAAATATTTATTTTAATTTGTATTCCAACTGAAAAGCAAATTGAGCAATTTGTAACCGTAACAAAACTCTTTATTCAGTCAGTATTAAGTAGTGTATGTTTGAAATGAAAGTGTCCCTGCTTTACAGTTAAATAAAAAGTTTGTGATTTTTTTTTGGATGAAAGATGTTGTAGTTCTTTTTATCAGTGAAATACATGCAATTTTCTCAACCAAGTCAAGGCAAAAAAAACAATTTTTTTATTTAGAGAATTATAAACCCAATATTCCCATATTTTGGTCGAATCAAGCTTTATTTCCTGAATTGCTTCTTTTTTAACCAGTGCGAAAAGACTTGTCACCGACAATACTACACAGAAATATATATATACGTATTCTTAAGAATACTATTTAAATAACTATTTTAAATTTTAATAATTATGAATAATACAAATAATTATAACTATTAATTAATTACCTATTCTTAATTAACTTACTAATTAATTACCTATTCTTAATTAACTTATTAATTAATGATATCGAGAAAAAAATAGGCATTTTCAAAGTATTTTTTTTTGTTCTAATGCAGCTGGCAAATACTTAGACAGCTTGGTCTTGGATGGCTTAAGGCAAGCGCTGCACAGACGTACTCACTTTGCATTACCCAGGGGGCACAAGTAACTTGAAGATAAGCTACGGACGCGGAGTAACAACGCCCCCGCAACGCTCTACGATCCTGTTAGGACCGGGACCTACGGTTTAAAGTGGATTCCGAACCACTACAAACGTCCATGGCACCGCCGGGACTCGAACCCGGAACCTGTGGTACCGATCGCCAGAGCGCTAGCCACTCGGCCATTCAGGCCCCATTTTCAAACTATTGTGTTACATAAATTTCTTGAATACAGGTACCTACGGTCGAACCCCTCCCCCCCCCCCTTTTGTTGTTTTTAAGCCCCCATTTTGGAGGGGCCCGGGGGGGGGGGGGGTGCAACCCGCGTCCCGCCTTGAATATTTCTCCCTTCCGTGAGATTTATCACATTTTTATAAAATATATTTACTTTATAATGGCCAAAGTAGTGAAAACCGATGTATTAAAAAAATACATTGTGTGCATCCATATATTCAAAAATTAACTGCCGAAATTATGAGAAAAAAATAACTTTGATTTTAAAATAACATTCTTGCGAAAATAGTACAGATAATGCCTGTTTTATTTATGAGGTTTACAGCTATGAGTTCGCAGAATAATTAAATTATATTCTGCGAACTCATGATGCGCGCCCATCTCGGAACATGTAGTATAACAGGTTCTATGTTTCACTTTAAGTGACCTCAGTGATGCAGTGACCATCCCTAGATAGTTGATTATTGATAGCAGCGAAAACCAAAGCTTTCGGTTCAACTTACAACTGCGAATTGTTTTTTTCGAAAATGAATTTGACCTAACAGAAAGTACACTCAAACATAGTGGACGCTAACCTTTGTAACACCCATTTGCCAATACCCAAATTGAGATCGATTTGCAAAATCTATGTGAAAGAGTGGAAAAAAAAATATTATTTAAATAGCAAATTAGTAAAATAGTAAATAACATTAGTAAAATAAATATTTTTTAATGATTTCATTTTTTTTCATTTCGTTTATATTTATATATTTTTTTATATTTGATTTTTAGTGTTATATATTTTTCTACAACGTGCGTTTAGTGTCATTATTATTATATTCTCTATGTTTACCTGTATAGGGCCTGAATGGCCGAGTGGCTAGCGCTCTGGCGCTTGGTACTACAGGTTTCGGCTTCGAGTCCCGGCGGTGCCATGGATGTTTGTAGTGGTTCGGAATCCACTTTAAACCGTAGGTCCCGGTCTAATAGGATCGTAGAGCGTTGCGGGGACATTGTTACTCCGCGTCCGCGGATTATCTTCAAGTTACACGCGCCCCCTGTGTAATGCAAAGTGAGTAACGTCTGTGCAGCGTTTGCCTTAAGGCATCCAAGACCAAGCTGTCTAGGTGCCAGCTGCATTAGAAAGAAAAAAGAATGTTTATTTGTAAGAATACTAGTAAACTAATAACTCATTAATAACTCATAGTAAACTATAACTCATAAAAATAATAACTCATTATGTGTCAATTTTTCACTTCAAAAAAATGTCTATAGTGGTTCTAAATCTAATATGGGGACATAAAATTTTGCATGCGACCCGCTGAGTTAGGATGAATTTCCAAAATGGCCCTCAAGATAATCTGGGCTATCCACTCCTGCTCTAGACTCTCTACCGCCTGAACGTCTATAACCTATGGAATGACCATAGCCTAGAACTATCCTGGAACCTATTGCTTTAGAGCTCTAAAGAAAAACTAACTGTTGATCCTAAATATACCAAAATTGCCGCAGTTTCTAAACATATTTCAATAATTGGTATTCAAGCAACAGTTGAATAGTTCCTTGTTTCATTATAATAATTAATATTGTTGTTGTTGTTTCTTATCCCACTTGGCTGGCCAAGACCACGAGCCCATACGTACTCATGATTGAAGGGGAAGGAAGCAGCTTCTATTGTGATGGAGCACCCTCGTAGGTAGAAGTCTGACTTTGGCTCCGTGACGCTCTTACAGTCATAGGAGACCGGAACCTACGGCTGAAAGTGGAATCCGAAACACTACAAGCATCCATGGCACTGCCGGGATTCGAACCCGAAACCTGTGGCACCGAGGTGGTCACCCACCCAAGTACTGACCGTGCCCAATGATGCTTGACTTCGGTGATCTAACGAGAACCGGTATATTCAGCATGGTATGGCCGTTGGCTATAATTAATATAAAGAAGTTATATGTGTTCTTATCTACCACTGTGATTCTAAATATATATGTGTCGTGAAATAGCATTTGTTAACAATAACTTTCCAAGAAGACGATAGATGGCGCTTGTGTAAATGATAAATGTTACATGTCCGTAGGTAATTTTAAATTTAATAAATAATTGTTGCATAAATTCGGCCCATCATAACTAACCTTACTTTCGCTTTTCATACTGTTACACATTAGTTAAAGCGAGATTGCTTAAATTTTACTTAAAAATTACGGAAATAGAATTACACACTTATTCCAACACTCTATGGCAAATCTAATAATGCGTCGGACCCCTTAAATAATAATAATTTGATAATTTTAGGGCGGTTTGTGTTGTAGACATTGTTTCAAAAAACGAGGAGAATCGACGGCGTTTTGATGCTCCACATCTTGCCCCGTTAGTCGGATTGCCGGGCGGAAGTCTTTCGGGTTTTATCCCATACGATAAGCAAATGCGGGGTAGTTCTCCTTAAAAGTCATGGCAGAAGGCACTGCACTCCTTCTTCAGCGGAAACACAGGAGCCAAGTCAGACTCCTACCTACGATTGCTCCACGACAACAGAAGCTGCCCCTTTCCCTCCATCCATGAGTAGACCACTCACGGGATGTCCATCCCTCACTGCAGGACACTGAGGATTTGACACAGCAACAACATAAATTGAAATAAAAAGTAAATTCAATTATTTTTTTAAAATTCCAATGGCAGATTATGAACAGTTACAGCAATAAAAAAGAACAACGAAAAATAAAAAAGAACAGAGAATACAACAAAACATGCTGAAATAAAGTTCATTAATCTAACATATCTCTTGCCTCCCAAAATCGCTCGGCGAGAAAAGTCTTGTTCAGAGCAGGACAGTGAAGTAGATTTGCGTGGAGTCCATGGCCTCTCCAGAGCTGCACATCGGGGAAGGAACAATTTTGAGTCTGTAAAGATGGTTTCGCAGGTAGTCGGTTGTCGAATTAGCCTCCATAATAGTAAAGACACCAATATCCTTCTCACACAGAGTCAGCAAAAGCTTTGCGCGCTTGGATTGAGACAGTCCACCGGCTTTCCACTGTAGCACTCGAAGAGTATCAAAGTGAGGGGAGAAAGACATAATGCCAAGTTGTAGATCTTTTAGCCACTGAAAAGTGTTACCAGGTGTACCACGGGGAGGTAGATCTGCGGGCCCGCGTTCTAATGATCTCGGATCTAATGATTAAAGTGTATTGAAAGATTGACGACAGAAACAATACGCACAAATATTTAATTTATTTCTTTATCGAAAAATAAAAAAAAATAGAAAGAAAATTAAAATTAAAATAAAATTTAAGACTATATGACGGAATATTTAAAACGAAAATGGAAAATTTATCATTTTAATTTCAAAACAATTTAAAATTCTTAATCTCCTTAACTCAAGTGTTTATGAACAATTTATTATTGAAAAAATCAAAACATAAAAAATAATCTAACGAATCATAAAGACGAATAAAAATACATAAATTATGATGTCATTTCTTATTCGTAATTCTTTTGCAAACGATTTTCGAACTGATGCCATTTAACAAAAAATAAGGTTTTTATTTAATTAAAAAGAAGATTAATAAGAATTTTTGTGTAAATTTTAGCTGTTCACCAAATAAAAAGAATGTTATATTAATTGAATTTTTAAAAAAAGTTTTATTAAATACAGGCACACGAATTTCTTGCCTTATTTAGAGATGTAAATGGAAATTCTAATTCTTGATGAAGATGGATGAGTATAAGTTATAAAATTAAAAATATAGAATATTTCAGTATAAATGTTGAAATATAGTTGTAATCTTGATACATGAAATACTATAAATTAAATATAATGCCCTGTGAGAAAGAATTTCCTATTAAAATGTACACGAAAAAAGGAGATAGGATTTATATGTTATTACGTCGATGACAAATGCAATAATTATTCAACACCTACTATTAGTTCACATTCTCCCCATATATATATGTTGTTCAAATTTTCAATCGTTCATAAAATACTTTTTATTCATCCACTCAAGTGGATGACACTGGATGTTAATACAGTTTTTTCAAATATTAATTCATTAATTAAATTTAATTAAATAATTTTAGGTTTTTTTAGATTTAAGTTGCATATATCTATCAATAGATGGCGCCAGATGTAAGAGGAAAATTTCAACTTTATTTATAAAGGACTTTCTGCAATATAGTGAAAAAAAAGTAGGAATTGACTTTAAAAACTTTTTTTTTTATATTACTTGTTTTCTTTTCACGTAAACAAAACATTTTTTTCTTCTGCCGCACTTCTAAAATCTTTTTATCTTTGACCCTGAGATAACCTTGACCCTTGAGATTTTAAAAATCAGTCGCACAATCATTCACATTTATTTAATACTAACAATTAATTAATTTACAATTTTAATTTAAAGACAATTTAAAATTCTTAATCTTGTTAACTTACGAACAATTTATTAATAAAAAAAAAATCAAAACATAAAAAATAATATACAGAATCAAAATGATGAATAAAAATGAGTCATGACGTCATTTCTTATTTGTAATTCTTTTGCTAACGAATTTTGAACTCAAAAGTTAGAAAATGATATTTAACAAAAAATAAGAATTTATTTATTTAAAAAAAATTTATTAAGAATTTTCGTGTAAATTTTGGTTATTCACCAGATAAAAAGAATGTTATATTAATTGAAATTTTTTTTAAGTTTTAGGAAACACAGACACACAAATTTATTGCCTTATTCAATTCCTTCTATTAGCTCACACTCTCCCTATATATATCTTGTCCATATTTTCAATTGTTCATAAAATACTTTTTATTCATCCACTCAAGTACAAATACATTTTTTTTTAACTTGCAGTGGATGATACTGGATGTTAATACAGTTTGTTCAAATATTAATCCATTAATTAAATTAAATTAATTAATTTTTGTTTTTTTTAGATTTAAGTTGCATATATCTACCCATAGATGGCGCCAGATAACTTAAAAAAATGAATGAAAATTATTTATAAGGGATTTCTGCAATAGAGTGAAAAAAAAGTAGGAATTGACTTAAAACTTTTTTTTTTATATTACTTGTTTATACATATATAGATAGAAATTCTAATACTTGACGAGAATAGCTGAATATAAAATTATAAATATAGAATATTTCAGTATGAATATTGAAATATAGTTGTAATCTGGATATATGAAATACTATAACTGAATATAATGCACTGTGATAAAGAATTTCCTATTTAAATGTGCACAAAAAAAACCCAGGAGATAGAATTACAATAATGACAAACGTTGTGTTGACAATGCAATAATTATTTTCTTTTTACATTAACATCTGCTCTTCTAAAATCGTTTTATCCTTGACCCTGAGATATAATTGACTTGCTTAAATCAACCATACTATTAAGCACATTCATTTAATACGTAATTTACTGAGAAATTCCTTTGTTAAATATTATCTTTGTGTGAAATTGGGTAATACCCTTAATCATTTAAGTCTCATAAAAGTCCAAGTTAAATGCTATCCGGTGAAACGCGAAGCCTTTTGTTCCTAAGCGATAAGTAAACGGGCGCGAGATTTAATTTCCTTTTCAACTATGGCAACAAAAAATCTCGGGAAAAGTAAATGCAATGACAACCGGAAATTCTAAATTATCTTTTCTTTTAATCGATAGAAAGTTTTTTTCCTTTTGTCGTGTTTTTTTATTTTATTTATTATTATTATTTTTTTTTTCTTCTTTTTCATTTCCTTTAGAATGGATCTTGAAAGCGATCAGTCATAGCAGAAAATGGCGTCAAAAAAAAAAGTTCTATGAAAACAAAGATGGACTTTCAAACGTCACATTTTACCTCAGGGTGATCGCGAGTTTTCTAATCGGTTGACAGCACGGTTTGGCTACCTGCGGCGATTATTTAGTGAAAGTTTCTCACCTTTCGCTCTCTCCCTTTGCTGTTTGTAACTCGTATGACCAATTCACTTTTGATGATTCGTTAGTCCGCGTTTTGGCGGTCGAGTAGACGTTCCAAGAAAACTCGTTTTTAGCATCCGTTAGTTAATTTTCTGCTGTCAGTTAAGCCCTTCTAAACTCTGAATAGTTGTCCAGGATGTAACTTTCAAGGTGAGTTGTTATTTTTTTAGACATTTAATATTGACATATTTAACATTTATTAAGTAAATGAATTTGTGATTACGTAATTGCAGAAAAAAAAGGTGATATAAACTAGCATGGAATTATTGTAAAGCACTGTTTATTTACAAAGCGAAAAATTTATGTATGCCTTTTATTTTTTAACTATATTATTATTATAACAACTTATTACTATATTATTATTATAACAACTTATAACTATATTATTATTTTTAACTTTAACTATATTATTAACTATATTTTTTATACTAAAAAATTATTTTATTACTTGTTTCTGGATTCCTTAATAATATATCAGATGCGTAATTGTGATTTGCAAAAAAATTATGACTTTGTTAATTCATTTTGTAAGTTGTTAATTTTTAGTCATTTAGTATTGACATATAATTATTGAATAAATAATTAAAATAATAATTTAATAATTAAATTTGTGAATAAATATTGTTATAATATATAATTATAATAAACGATATACATTTTATTTATAAATATATCGTTTATTGAATAAATTAATTAGTGATTAGGCAATTACTGGAATAAAAGTTGATATATTATAAACTAGCATGAAATTATTATAAAGCATTATTTATTTACAAAGCAAAAAATTATTACTGTTTGTTAAATTAATTTCGTAAGTTGTTACTTTTTAAGCATTTAGTACTGACATATTTAACGTTTATTAAGTAAATTAATTTGTGATTACGGAATTGCTGGAATAAAGCGTAATATCTTATAAACTAGTATGAAATTATTATAAGGCATTGTTTATTTACAAAGCAAAAAATTTATGTATGCGTTT